GTGGTCCATGAGGTGAAATCAGTCACACAAGGCTTGTCCACCTACAGACCCTCCGGTTGTCACCCCGCTGGGTCCTGCTCTTCAGCATCACAGCAGCCTCTGGACCTGCAAGGCTGTCTGCCATCGGGCAAGAGAGCGGGGACAGGGCTGCCTCGATGCTGTCCCCTCCGGTCCCTGCCCTCCTGCGACGGTAGGGATGGCTCTGAGCTTGGAGCTGGCAGGAGGTCCTGGGGAGAGGCTGAGCCCAGGAGAGAGTGCGAGGAGGAGGAAGGACAGGGGCCAGTTCCAGCTTTTCAGCTGCTCCAGTGGGATGCCCGTGGTGCGAGCGGGCAGGGGCCAGGCAGCGTGGTGGCAGGGAGCTCCCCGGGGAGCTGCAGGCTGAGGCGGCCAAGGCTGGAGGAGCTCCTCGGAGTGTCGGGGCCCCCCCTCCCCTGGGGGGAGAAGGTGTGGGGTCCAGCCTGGCTGGTGTGCCTCGTCTCAAAGGAGGGATGTGGGGACAGGGCTCTGGGCAGGCGGGTGCTGGTCCTGATCCTGAGCAAGAAGTGAGCAGCTGGGTGTGCTGGCCCTGCACTTGGCGCTGCTGCCCGCAGCAGTTCAGAGGTGAACTCAGCTCCCGTTTCCATGTTCGTGCGTGAGTGTGATAACACCCGGCAAGGTGCAAAGTAGCTGCTGCTTTTGACACGGCTGGCCAGATGGGATTTCTCCTTCAGTCTGGGTTTTGACAATGACATGGGAATTTATCCGGCTGTTTCTCTGCTTCCAGAGTAAAGGAGCTGCTTGTCAGGACAGCGTGGCAGAGTGATGCCAGCTGGACCGCCCTGAGCTCCAGACAGGGACACATTGCACGGCTCTGGACCGGCTCCTCGTCCCGGCGCAGCTCCAGTGGCATCAGCAGGGCTGGCACTAGTGGGGTGCAGGCAGGGTGCAGGCAGCATCCAGGGCACGTAGCGGCCGGGGGGCAAGGTCCAGAGGGTCCCATCCGGGCTGCCGCCGCGCACGGGCACCGTGCCCCTGTCAGCCTTCGAGGAGCCCGGCAGCGTCCTGGCCACGGTGCCGACGGAGCGGGGCCGTGGAGTCTGCGCTGACCCAGCTGGGAAGTTCCCGATGAAATGGTCTGCGGGTGGTGTTTTATTTTCCCTGGTTCCGCTTGAATTCGGGAGCGAAAGGCACAGCAGGGAGCCTGCTGCCTGCTGCTGAGCCCGGGCTAAGCTGCAGCTCGGTGCTGCGGGGAGGGACCCTTGGGGGTGAGGAGATGGGAGAGCTGCATCCCCCAGCTCCCGGGGGGCTGCAGGCACAGCAAGGGCATGGGGGAGGTTTCTCCTGGGATGGATGTTAATGGTCCCTCATGGGTGGCCTTGGCATCGTCTGGCTTTTCCCACACAGTTTGGTGCTGGATCTCCATCAGCCCAGGAGCGAGAGGATGGCAGGGAAGCTTCAGCCCAGCTGCCCATCAGCTTTCACCCCTCGTGTCGCTGGCCCGGCTCTCTGTGAGGTGTGGGGAGGGCGTGCAGACGCTCCCACCTCCCCATTCACCTGCTGGGATGGACCCCGGGTTTGGCCCGCTCCCGGCATCCCCACGG